GCAGTGGATTATATTTAGAATTGTAGTGCATGGTAATCTTGCAGGAAACTGGGTTGAAATAGGCTAGTTTAGTGATTGATTAGTTTAAGAAAAAGGATTTTTAAGTCATATATTTGGGGGAGTGGAAGAATTGGATAGAACTGAATAAATTTGGAGAAGGCTGCTTTGAAATGTTAAATTAATATATATAAAAGTAAAAGTTATGTTGTTGTAATAATAATAATATTTTATAAGTTTGGGGGAGGAGAAAAAGGGCAGATTGTGAAAAGCGGAGAAAAGCGGAGTTATAAGAATACTATGCTAAGGGTCAGTACTTTGAGGAGTGAGTAAGGGCATGGTAAAATATTATGTAATTAATTATGAATTAGCTTATTGTTGTGAAGAAGAAGTCACAGGGGGGGATGGGTGGTGAGGGCGGGTTGGGGAAGAAGGGAGGAAAAGGGGGAAAAACTTGTATTTGAAAAACTTTTTCAATAAAAAAAAAAGAGAAAAAAAAGAAAAAAAAACAAAGAAAAACTAAATGCATCTTATGATACAATAGCTTGTAGAATCACCTTTAGCAGCAACAACTTGAAGTAATCCTTTTCTGTGTGACTTTATCAGTCTCTCACAATGTTGAGGGAGGAATTTTGGCCCCCTCTTCTTTACAACAGTTCATTGAGGTTTGTAGGGGTTTGTTTCTGCACAGCTCTATGGAGGCCCCACCACCTCATTTCAATTGCGTTGGGGTCTGGCATTGACTGGGCCATTGCAATGCCTGGATCCTTTCCTTTTTCAGCCACTTGCTGGTCTGCTTGGGGTCATCAGCCTTTTGCATGACCCAAAGTCCACCAAGCTTCATCTGTCAGTCAGATGGTCTCACATTGGACTCTGGGACGTTTTGGTAGACAGAGGAGTCCATGGCCCAGTCAATGATCGCAGGGTGCCCAGGTCCTGTGGCTGCAAAAGAAGCCCAAATCCTCTCCCTCCATCTCCGTGCTTGGCGGTTGGTGTGTCATGGTGCTGATAGGCTGTGTGTGGTTTCCACCAAACGTGGCTCTGTGCATTATGGCCAAACTTCTCCACTCTGGTCTCGTCTGTCCAAAGGAGAATGTTCCAGAAGTCTTGTGGTTTGTTCAGATGCAACTTGGGAAACCTCATCCGTGCTGCCATGTTCTTTTTAGAGAGAAGTTTCCTCCTGGCAACCCTTCCAAACAAACCAAACTTCTTGAGCCGCCCTGAGTCTTCGGAGAGAGGCGGCATATAAATTGATTAAATTAAATTAAATTAAATTAAATTAAATTAAATTAAATTAAATTAAATTAAATTAAATTAAATTAAATTAAATTAAATTAAATTAAATTAAATTAAATTAAATTAAATTAAATTAAATTAAATTAAATTAAATTAAATTAAATTAAATTAAATTAGTTTTTTTCTGATTCTGCTGTCAGGAACTGGAACATTTAACAGGCTCATTGAGGCCTGTAGAATCTCAGGTGGAACTCTTGATTTTTTTATTTTTATTTTTTTTTGCCATGTCTCTGAGCATTGCACGGTCTGACCTTGTGTGAACTTGCTGGGATGGTCCCTCCTGGGAAGATTGGCAGCTGCCTTGAATGTTTTCCCCTTCTGAATAATCTTCTTTGATATAGAATGATGGACGTTAAATTGTTTGGAAATGGCCTCTTCCCAGATTGATGGGAAGCAACAATGGCTTCTCTCAGATCACTGCTGGAGTCTTTGCCCTTTGGCATTGTGTTAACACAGACCTCAATGCTGGAGACCAGAAAACTCCTGAAACTTTGACTTTTATAGAGGCCGTCACACTTGTGATGATCGATTAATCCAGGTCCCTTGATCAGCAGCACCAGGCTTCCTCTCAGCCTCTTCCCACCTATGGAAGCAGTCAGGGTGTCCTTAGCCTTTCACACCTGGCTCCTCCATTTCGGCTCTCTTTCTGTAAAATAAAGGAGGACAGGGTGTTATATCTCCTGTGTTGCTGTTCACCTGAGGTTGCATTTACCTCCTTTTAAGAACTGCTGAAGACCAGATGCTTTTTACTGTGTCCTGATACATGAAACCAGAGAACTCACAGAGGGTGCCTTTCCTGCTGCCTTGAAAGAGGCGGTAGTGAGGCCCCTCCTCAAGAAACCTTCCCTGGACCCGGCTGAATTAGCCAACTATCGTCCAGTCTCCAACCTTCGTTTTGTGGCGAAGGTTGTTGAGAGCGTGGTGGCACGACAACTTCCCCGGCACCTGGATGAAGGTATCTATCTAGACCCGTACCAGTCGGGCTTCAGGCAGGGGTACAGCACAGAAACGGCATTGGTCGCGTTGGTGGATGATCTCTGGAGGGCTCGGGACAGGGGTTGTTCCTCTGTCCTAGTCCTATTAGATCTCTCAGCGGCTTTTGATACCATCGACCATGGTATCATGCTGCAGTGGTTGAGGGGGTTAGGAATAGGGGGCACCGTTTTGCGGTGGTTCTCCTCCTTCCTCTCCGACCGCTCGCAGTTCGTGTTGGCAGGGGGGCAGAGGTCGACCCCGAGGCGTCTCGCATGGGGAGTGCCGCAAGGGTCGGTCCTCTCGCCCCTCCTGTTCAACATTTATGTGAAGCCGCTGGGTGAGATCATCCGTGGTTTTGGGGTGAAGTGCCATCTGTACGCTGATGATACTCAGCTGTACATCTCCACCCCAGACCACCCCAACGATGCCCTTGATGTGATGTCCCGCTGCCTGGAGGCCGTGCGGGTCTGGATGGGGAGGAACAGGCTCAGACTCAACCCCTCCAAAACCGAGTGGCTGTGGCTTCCGGCGCCCCGATATAGTCAGCAGGTGCCATCGCTGACTATTGGGGGTGAATCTTTGCCCCCCACGGAGAGGGCTCGCAATCTGGGTGTCCTCCTGGACGCACGGCTGTCTTTAGAAGAGCATATGACGGCCGTGGCCAGGGGGGCCTTTTATCAGGTTCGCCTGATTCGCCAGTTGCAGCCCTTTCTGGATCGGGACGCCCTGCGCACGGTCACTCATGCCCTTGTTACTTCCCGGTTGGACTATTGTAATGCTCTCTACATGGGGCTCCCCTTGAAGAGCACTCGGAGGCTCCAGCTGGTCCAGAATGCGGCCGCACGGGTGGTTATGGGCGCAACCCGTTATGCCCATGTGACACCCCTCCTGCGCGAGCTGCACTGGCTCCCGGTGGTCTTCTGGGTGCGATTCAAGGTGTTGGTTACCACCTTTAAAGCGCTCCATGGCATAGGACCCGGGTATCTCCGAGACCGTCTTCTGCCACCAATAGCCTCCCACCGACCAGTTCGTTCCCACAGAGAGGGTCTCCTCAGGGTGCCATCAGCCAAGTTATGTCGGCTGGCGACGCCCAGGGGGAGGGCCTTCTCTGTGGGAGCCCCAGCCCTGTGGAATGAACTGCCCCCGGAAATTCGTAAGATCTCCGACCTCCGGGTGTTTCGCTGCGCATTGAAGACCCTGTTGTTCCGCCAGGCCGGACTATCAACACAATAGTTTTAAATTGGGGTATTTAAATTCATTGGGGTTTTAAATTTGAGCCACTTATTTAATTATTTTAAATTTTATATCATTGTTTTGTCTATGTTTTTAAATAGGCTGTACACCGCCCTGAGTCCTTCGGGAGAAGGGCGGTATAGAAATAAAATTATTATTATTATTATTATTATTATTATTAGGGTCTCCTTCCTTTTCCACAGGGCTGAATTTCTTAGTGTACAATTAAACCTCTGGAACCTGACAGACTCCCCAAATTCTCTGGGTTAGAAGATGCAGAATTTCACATAAAGCCCTCTAGGATTATGCATCTGACAAATTATATTAGGAGCTGTGGTCTCCCTATCTCTTGTGTAACTAGAGAAGAAGCCCAAAAATAATCAAAGTGGTAGATAAATAAATAAACAAATATTGCTTCACCAAGAATCTGGAATATTGAATGTCAACTGCATAAGAAAGAGAGAGATGAGAGTCTTGGACTGCACATTAGACAAACAACCTATTGGGAAACTTGTGTTAAAGCAACACATTTGCTGTTCAGTCAGAATTAAAGATATAATAGGGCCCTTTATTGGAACGAAATGCTCACTTGACACCTGCACATCTGGATCTGATTGTCCCAAAGGTGCTTTTTTCAAGAGGCAACTGGACTTTCTGGTTTTTCTTTGAAGACCTTTTGCTTCTCATCCAGAGCTGAAGAACCTGGACGACTGAGAATCTCCATAGACACGTGGGTCTGATTGCAATAAGTTGTGATACAGAAATATGTTTTTTTAATTCTTATTCTTTTTTATTTAATTTGTTTCTTGTGCTCCGTTTTTATATACAGTGTCGTTAACACTCTGTGCTTAATATTCTGTTTCTTGATATGGCATAATTGCTAATCAACAATAATCTATTTAATTTGTTCATCAATACCAAGTTGAATTTATTAAAAAATAAAGTTTTGGACTTTATCTGACCCCCAATATAACACAGCTTTTTTCATTGCTTTTTCAGATCAGTCATAAAATTGTTTCAGAGGCTCTGAGTGATAAAAGGAAATTCCCTTTTTTCCACCGGATGCTCCCCAAAGAAGGGATCCAGTACCCAAGAATTGTCCCACTGCTCCTCCACTTCAGATGGACCCTGATTGGCCTCTTTGCTTCAGACACAGAGAAGGGAGAGAATTTCATGAGGATTTTTTCTCCTATGCTTGTCAGGAGTGGAATTTGTGTGGTTATATCACAACTGTTCTCAACAACTGGATACACAACAACCCTCAGGGATTCCCTCTCTAAGTGGAGACAAGTCAACGTCTTTGTTCACTTCATGGAATCTGTTCCCATTTTGGGGAGAATTCTTCCTTTCCATTTAACATTTATGCGTTTGCCAGGATCCATTGAAGGGAAAGTCTGGATCATTACAGCTTTGGGAAGATTAATTTTGACAAAGCACAGACTTTACAAATACATCCATAGTATTTGGATCTTTAGTTTTCTGAGGGAAAAAAGGCCAAAGGATTCTGCCTTTGAACCCCTTTTCTTTGTGGAAGAAAAGTTTCCAGATCCTTATTTCCGCTGTTCTCTTTCAAAGAACGTCTTTTCTGTCAAAGGCCGCAGAAGATGCACCCAGAAAGCCCCACTGGAGACCCAGGAGAAAAGGAACAGAGGAAGGTTCACAAATTATCCTCTTGTCTACAGTCTCATTCAGACTCTGGCCCAGGCCTTGAACGCTGCCTATTCCTCCAGATGGAGGAGGGGAAGGAAGGAGGGAGAAAAGAGTTTGGGGTCTCCAAGGCTGCAGCCGTGGCAGGTATGGGGGTCCTGATATTGTGGGATATGAAGAATTGCTTCTAAAATAATGTTTTATTACAGCTTTCACTTCTGCGTAATAAATAGAGAAAATAAGGAACTAGAATATTAAGGATTTTTTTGAAAAACTAGTGAAAACGGTATTGTTCTTAGAGTGAGCAAAGTGGTTCAGAAAAGTCTAGAAAGAAAAGGGGGGAGGGATTTCTGAGCAAGAGCTTAATGGACACATTTCAAAATATAACCAATTTATGCAAAAGAGCAATGGAAAGTTACTGATGCAGAATCACACCAGGCCATGGAGACAGGGGGTTGCTGGGGAAAATAAGGCCAGGAGTTGAACAGGAGCTCCGGATAGGCCGAGAGCTTGCTAGTCCTTCAGCCAATGGGGAAGCAGGACAGGGTTGAGTGACAGGAGGAAGGGCATAAAACCTCTTGCATGCTTTGATCCGGGTCCACCTGGTGGATTTGAATAGAATAGAATTTTTTATTGGCCAAGTGTGATTGGACACACAAGGAATTTGTCTTTGGTGCATAGGCTCTCAGTGTACATAAAAGGAAAAGATACCTTCATCAAGAATCATAAGGTCAAACACTTAATGACTATAATTATAACCCTATGACTATCATTAAGTGTTGTGATATGGTTGAATCTAGAATTTTGAAGGTCTCTACTGTGGATTCTGTGTTGATTCTCCTCTCTGCAGGAATCCCAGTCAAAGCTTCTCTGACTGACGGCTGCTCAGTCTTTGCCTCCTCAGTGAAGGGGAGGCTGAACTTCTCTGCTTTGAGGGCTCAGCTCTGAAATGGCTCCTCTTTTCAGGGTCTTTTTCCTCTCCTTCAGCCAGAATCTCCTCCCTTCTGACTGAGCTCATTTCCCCATTTCCCCCACCTCCCTCTGGAGCAACATGGAGGAGATCTGGAGCTTCTGGGCAACTTCTTCCAGTTATTGGAAGAGGCAGAATGGGATTTACGACCACAGTTGAGCTCAGCATTTCTGTTGCTAAGCAAGACGGTCGTTAAGTAAGTTTTGCCCTATTTTATGACTTTCTTGCCTTTTCTTCTTAAGTGAATCATCGCAGTTCTTAACATGGTTGTTAAGTGAATCTGGCTTCCCTGTTGATTTTGCTTGTCAGAAGTCGCAAAAGGAGATCAGGCGACCCTAAAACGCTGTAACCAGCATAAGTGGATGCCAAGTAATCAGATGTTGATCACCTGGAGACCCTGGGGATGCTGCCATGATCCTGGGAAAATGATCAGTGCTGTTGTAACTTTGAAATGGTCACTAAATGAACCATTTTTCATAATCAACCTGATGTTTTCCAGGCGTTTATAAATAATTTTTTTTCCTATGATTCATTTTATTTATCATCTGCTCTAGAATGTCCCCTATAATTTACCAATTGCATCAATTATATTTTGTTAATATATATTTTGCCAATATAGGGTTGAGCAATTTGCTGAACATTTGTTTTATTTATGAAGGTAGTAACGCCTATTTTTCTAAATGTATATTTTGATGTTAGACAGCTGTAGAAAAAAGATTCAAATGTGTAAACGCTAAATGGGATTTTTTTTAAAAAAAGCTTTCAGATGTTAAATTTCCTGGATGTTCCCCTTCTAGTTCCATCCTTTCCTGCAGAAGAATGAGTATTGCAATATTTCCATGATGAAACTCTACTTGGATCAAAATGGAGATGTAGCAGCAGATCTGGCTATTATGAGCCATTTGATTCTCCCCAAGGAGAATCCCATCAAACTTCAAATGGGGACTTTGGAAAGACAGAGACTTACTATCAACCAAAATGCTCTTTCACAGCTAAAGTTCCTCAACCAGGTGGGAGAAATTTTGGTGTGATTCCTCTTTTTTCCAAAGATTTAGGACCCATTTCATGTGGACTAAGCCCAGTTTCCAGGGTCCATGACCTTCACTGAGAATTGAACATGGGGAGTAGAAACCTTATAGTTTTCTTTCTATAGACCACTTGGGAGCCTTCAGTACTATCGACCAAGCTGTTCTTCAGCTGCTGTAATACTGAAGACTCTTTGTAGCTGGTTCAACCATGTCCAACCTGGGATGAGAAACCCTCAAGTGCTGGAGGTTGTGTTGTTAAGAGCCTCAGGTTCGCTTGTTCCTTGTCCTGAAAGAGCAAAGCTGAAAGGGATTCTGTTGAAGAGACCCTGAATTGAGGTTTGGACTGAATGAGATGAAATTGGATCATGGCTGGATGGAGCTCCTGGGGGTCCCATTGGGAGAGAAGCTTCCTCTTGTCCTGCTTAGGGAAAGGCCATTGGGAAATGGTTCCTTGAAAGGGCAGGTCCATGGTCTGTGATGTGTTTAAGTAGTCCAGACCTGGTCAAAGGTAGCCATATCTGTCTTTGGGGGGAGCAATTGACCTTCTGCCCCTAGGAAGGAGGTCCAAGGCTTTCAGTTCACATAAAATGACAGTGACCAGTGAGAGAATCCCTTGACCAGAAACCTGAAACACAACTTTAGTTCAAACAAAAGGTCTTCCTGATATCAGAAGTAAGGAGAGAGATTGTGACAGGAAATGCTACTTAGATTTGGCCTTTGATAATTAAGAGGGCTCTTAGTCTGAAAATGAATGGCCTTGTTTATCTTGAGTTCCGGCCCCCAAAGCTCCACTCGTTTTCCAGGTGGCGCAGATCCTCAGGGCCCTGGCCTCCGTCTGATGTTATGCAATGCCAGGTCTGTAGTAAATAAAGCCCCCCTCATTTGTGATCTTGTTCAGGAGGGGGGAGCGGACCTGGCAGGTATTACGGAAACCTGGTTGGGCCAAGAGGGGGGGGTCCCTCTTGTTGAATGTGCCCACCAGGTTTCCGCGCATTCCATCAGCCGAGGTTGCAGGGGAGGGGCGGGGGGGTAGCGGTTATTATTAACGAAGGTCTGAGACCGAGGGAGGCCACTGTTCCTCAGACGGCCGGCTGTGAATCCCTCCTTGTGAAATGGGGCCACGGGGTTCAGATGGGTTTGCTGATCACATACCTGGCTCCCTGCCATGTGGCAGCAGCCCTGCCCGAGCTACTTAGTGTCATCGCCACGGTGGCGGTTGAGACCCCTAGGCTTATGGTCATGGGGGATTTCAACTTGCCGTCCGTTGGTGAGGCATCTGAGGTGACTCGGGAGTTCATGGCTTCCATGACAGCCATGGACCTGACCCACTTAATTCATGGCCCTACCCACACGGGGGGAAACACGCTGGATCTGGTTTTTGTCTCTGGACAGTGGTTGAGTGATCTCGAGATAGGGGATATAGTCACCGAGCCCTTGTCATGGTCTGATCACTCTCTCCTTCGTCTCGACCTTCGAACCGCTACACCCCGCCGCAGGGAGGCGGAGCCGGTAAGATGGTTCCGCCCCAGGCGCCTGATGGAACCGGATAGGTTCCAGATGGAGCTTGGGCCATTCCCTGAGGCTCTGGCACACGCCTCGACTGGAGACCTAGTGGCCGCCTGGGATAGGGCGGCCGCTGGAGCTTTGGATCGGGTCGTGCCTTTGCGGCCTCTGACCCGGCGCCGATCTCATTTAGCTCCTTGGTTCAGAGCTGAGGGAGTTGAAGCGCCGGAAAAGATGCCTAGAGAGTAGTTGGAGGGCCAGTCTTTCTGAATCTGACCGGACACTGGTAAGAGCTCATATTAGGAATTACCTAGTGGCGATAAAAGCAGCGAAATGTAGCTATTTTGCTGCTCTTATTGCGTCATCAGATAATCGCCCGGCCGCCCTATTTAGGGTGACCCGCTCCCTGCTCCACCAGGAAGCGCGGGAGGACCCCTTGGAGGGTAGAGCCGAGGATTTTGTTCAATATCTGTATGACAAAATCGCTCAGATTCGGGAAGATCTGGACTCCGACTGGATAGTCTCAGGGGGAGGGACTGGGGCAGGTCTTGAGAATGTTATCTGGGATGAGTTTGATCCTGTGACCCCTGAGGACGTGGACAGGATTCTGGGTAGACTGAACGCGACCACTTGTTTATTGGACCCGTGTCCCTCCTGGCTAGTGCTGGCTTCTCGGGAGGTGACACGAGGCTGGTTCCAGGGGATTATAAATGCTTCGCTGGGTGAGGGTGTCTTTCCTGCCGCCTTGAAAGAGGCGGTGGTGAGGCCTCTCCTCAAGAAGCCTTCCCTGGACCCGGCAATGTTGGTAAATTATCGTCCAGTCTCCAACCTTCGTTTTGTGGCGAAGGCTGTTGAGAGTGTGGTTGCGCAACAGCTCCCCCAGCACCTGGATGAAACGACGTATCTGGATCCGTTCCAGTCGGGCTTCAGGCCCGGGTACAGCACGGAAACGGCATTGGTCGCGTTGGTTGATGATCTCTGGAGGGCTCGGGACAGGGGGTGCTCCTCTGTCCTGGTCCTGTTAGATCTCTCAGCGGCTTTTGATACCATCGACCATGGTATCATGCTGCACCGGTTGGAAGAGTTAGGGGTGGGAGGCACTGTGTTGCGGTGGTTCTCCTCCTTTCTCTCTGACCGGTCGCAGTCTGTGTTGACAGGGGGACAGAGGTCGACCCCGAGGCCCCTCATATGTGGGGTGCCGCAAGGGTCGGTCCTCTCACCTCTCCTGTTCACCATTTATGTGAAGCCGCTGGGCGAGATCATCCGTGGTTTCGGGGTGGAGTACCATCAGTACGCTGATGACACCCAGCTGTACATCTCCACCCCGGATCACCCCAACGATGCCCTTGAAGTGATGTCCCGGTGCCTGGAGGCCGTACGGATCTGGATGGGAAGGAACAGGCTCAGGCTCAACCCATCCAAGACCGAGTGGCTGTGGTTTCCGACGTCCCGATATAGCCAGTTGACGCCATCACTGACTATTGGGGGCGAATCATTGGCCCCCACGGAGAGGGCTCGCAACTTGGGCGTCCTCCTGGATTCACAGCTGTCTTTAGAAGAGCACTTGACAGCCGTGACCGGGAGGATTTTTTATCAGGTCCGCGTGATTCGCCAGTTGCGTCCCTTTCTGGATCGGGACTCGTTACGCATGGTCACTCACGCCCTCGTCACCTCCCGCCTGGACTATTGTAATGCTCTCTACATGGGGCTCCCCTTGAGGAGCACCCGGAGGCTCCAACTGGCGCAGAGTGTGGCCGCGCGGGTGGTAATGGGAGCGACATGGTGCTCCCATGTAACACCTCTCCTGCGCGAGCTGCACTGGCTCCCGGTGGTCTTCCGGGTGCGCTTCAAGGTTTTGGTTACCACCTTTAAAGCGCTCCATGGCTTACGGCCTGGTTATTTACGGGACCGCCTACTACCACCAATAGCCTCCCACCGGCCAATACGCTCTCATAGAGAGGGACTCCTCCGGGTGCCGTCAGCCAAACAGTGTCGACTGGCGGCCCCGAGGGGGAGAGCCTTCTCTGTGGGGGCACCTACCATCTGGAATGAGCTCCCCCCGGAGATACGGAGGATCCCGGATCTGCGCTCCTTCTGCCGTGCTGTGAAGACCTTTTTATTCCATCAAGCGGGCTTGGCCTGATCTCTTCCCTTTTTATTTTTTATTTTTATTTTTTAAATAGTTTTTATTGAATATAAATATTAAAAAAGACATACATAACATATACACAACAACATTTATACAACATATACACAAAAAGAGTGTAATTTCTTCTTAAGCATTTTTTCAGAGTGACGTTCTACAATTCTACTTATAATATATTCCTTCACCTCTCTTTAATCTAATAATATTTTTATTACATATATATGTATCAATCGGTAATATATCCCCTATATTTTTTGTATATTTCTATTTTTTAACCAATTATACCAATTATTCCATATTTTATAATAGTCTGATTCTTCTTTTTCTTGTAATTCTTTTTTTTTTTTTTTTTTTTTTTAATTTGATTTTATTATAACATATAGTAATACAATCGGTACATTTTCGGTTCATTGGTGCAGTTATATACATATATACATCTGCATACATTATTGCTTGTCTTTTGTTGATATTGTTTCTTGGAGCTAGATTTAATTTCAAACATTTAAAAATAATAGTGCTCAACTCCCTAAGACTAAATCTAATACTATTCATATAGATTTTGTTAATTAGTTAAAATTTAATCTCTATTACCTTCTTTATTTCTTTCCCCCATCCATTCGTACCACATGTCCCACACGCTATAAAATTCTGAATCTTCTCTGTCATTAATTTCTGAAGTCAATTTGTTCATTTCGGCGCACTCCAATATTTTTCCAATAACATGTTCTTGAGGTGGTATTTGTTTTTCTTTCCAATACTGGGCAAAGGAAATTCTAGCGGCTGTCAGAATATGTATAATTAAATACTTTTTCTTTTTTGCATATTCAGTTTTCAAAATTCCCAGGAGAAAAGCTTTTGGGTCAAAATCAAAATTTTCTTTTATTATTTCTCTAATCCATACCCATATCATCCTCCAGAATTTTTGTGCCTGATTACATGTCCACCAGCAATGATAAAAAGTACCCTGCTGATAGTCACATTTCCAACATTTAGGGCTCGAATTGGGGTAGATCTTCGCTATCCTGGCTGGGGCCATATGCCATCTATAAAACAGCTTGTATTGGTTTTCCTTATAAGCCGTCGCCTTTGTCATTTTAAGGTTGTTATTCCATATTGAATCCCATTCGTTCAAATTTATATTCTGTCCTATATTTTTGGCCCATGCTAACATCGGTTCTTTAACTACTTCCTCTGCCATATCATACTCCAATAAATAATTATATAATTTAGCTAAAATTTTGTCGTCCGTACCCATCCATATCTTATCAAATCCATTTATGCTCATTTCAATGCCGAATTCCTCCTTATCTTTTTTATATCTGGATTTAATTTGGTTATATGGCCACCAGTCTATAGAAATACCTTGTTCCATCAATTCTTCCCTTGTTTTAAGGTTCCCTCCCCCATCTAATAATTCATTGTATCTGAACGTTTTACCCATTTCTAATACATTTGGATATATTATAGCCTCCATGGTGGAAAGCCATCTCGGAATTTTCCTATAGTGCTTCTGTCTCATCTCTCCCCATATTTGTATCAAGATCTCCCTTATTTTATGTCTATGGAAGTAAGTTTTTATCTTCTTCCCAGTATCCCAGAGATATGCATGCCACCCCTTCTGGAGATCATACCCTTCTAGAGTTAACAGTCTTTTATTTCTTAGGGTTGCCCATTCTTTCAGCCATACTAGGTTTGCAGCTTTTTGATATAACTCCCATTTAGGTAATCCGAAACCCCCTCTTTCCTTCTTGTCCTGTAAATTCCTAATCGCTATCCTTGGTTTCTTTCCCTCCCAAATAAATTTCCTGATGATGCTATTGAGCTCCAGAAAGAATTTTTTATCTAATTTAACAGGGACCGTTCGGAATAGATACAATAACTTGGGTAATATGCTCATTTTTATTGCCGCGATTCTGCCTAATAATGATATCTGTAGTCTTCCCCACTTTTCCAGATCCTGTTTAATATTTCTAATCAATGGTAAATAATTATCCTCTCTGAGGGCCGAGCACCTTGATGAAATCCAGACCCCCAGGTATTTTACCTTCTTGGCGATTTGGATCTCCATTGTTTCTTCCAGTACTTTTTTCCTTGCCTCCGTCATATTTTTTGTTAATAATTTAGTTTTGGATTTATTTAATTTAAGGCCTGCTACCTCCCTGTAATTGCCCAATTCTTCCAGAATTTTAGTGCCTGATTCTAATGGTTCTTCCATGATTAATACCACATCATCTGCAAATGCCTGTGTCTTATATATCTCTTTTCTGATTGTCAGACCCTTTATTTCATTATTGTTCCTAATCTTTCTCAAGAATACTTCTAGTGCTAAGATAAATAGAAGTGGGGATAGAGGGCACCCTTGTCGGACCCCTTTTCTAATTTGAAAAGCCTTAGTTAGTTCTCCATTCAGTAATATATTAGCCTTTTGTTTTTGATAGATTGTGGATATCGTATCAAAAACAAAAGGCTAATATAATTAATTAATTAATTAAATATAATTAATATAATATCTAATTCCTAGATATTTTATTTTTTTTGTTGTTTGAATTTGTATATTATCTGTCAAATCTTTTGTTTGGATTTCCGTAAGGTTTTTAACAATTAGCTTTGATTTACTTTTATTGATTTTTAGTCCAGCCACTTCTCCAAATTCTTCTATTTTTTGGAATAAATTAGATATAGATTCCATAGGATTTTCTGTCAAAAACACTAAGTCATCAGCAAAGGCTTGAACTTTGTATTCTTCTCTATTGATCCTTAAACCTTCAATTCCTTGGTCTTCTGCCGTGCTGTGAAGACCTTTTTATTCCATCAAGCAGGCTTGGCCTGATCTCTTCCCTTTTTAAATACGTAAATTTTAATCTGTTTTTAAATTATTGGGGTATTTTAATTTGTCTGGGCCAAATAATTTAATTTGATTTTATCGGGTTTTTAAATTTTGTGTATTTATGTATTTTATTGTTGGCTGTTCACCGCCCTGAGTCCTTCGGGAGTAGGGCGGTATACAAATAAACTAAACTAAACTAAACTAAACTAAACTAAACTTGAGTGTTAGCTATCTTCAGTCCCTCTGCTTGAAAAGGAGTCTCCACATTCAACTACTATAAAATGTGGGTCTGTCTTTCCATGCCAGTTGGAGTCTCCTAATTGGAGTTCTTCAACACAAAGGACTTTTTCTTGGCTAACTGGATGGGCCTTAGAAATATCTCCTTCTGACCCAGGACTCACACTCATGTCCCCTCTGTTGCAGCCAAAGGTTTGCGACTTAATCTTTTTCAGGGAACCTTCTCATGATCTCCCCTCAATCTCACTACAGTTCTAGAAACTATGCAGAAACCTTCAGTCTTAATAAAGGAGAATATTGGTAGCTCAGGACTGACATGAGGGCTCCTTGGTGCTCTCTGAGCTTGCTTGTTTTCTTGCAGGTATTTCATTACCCAACTAGGTAACATCATCAGCTATAATTTATGAGGAATTTTTGCTTTGTCTCTTAACGGGGAGACTGTTTGGAACTAGTGTCAAAGGGGACCAGCTTTGCAAGGCTTTCTGTAGTCCAGAAGAAACCTTTCCAGACCCTACTGGTCAGAAGTTTCCTTTTTAATAACGTTTTACTCTACTTAAATAAATCTTTATTAAATAAAATAATTTAATAAATCTTTGACAATGACTGTATTTAAAAATTTAATATAATCATCATCACCATGGATAGATAGATGAAGATTGGAGGAATGCCTTTTAATACAGTCATGAGGGGGAACCTTTAAGTTTGTCACAATGCTTAAATCTTTTCTCAATTCCATCCTTCCAGAATTTATTAAATAGAAAAGTCCTTTATTATTCCAATGTGTTGTGCCAGAAGCAAAAGGGAGGAACTAAAGGAAGAACCTGCCAGGGTCACATCTCCTACACCTGTTTGGAAGGAGTCAGAAATTTCATATTTACCTCAGTGAAGCATAGAGGCTACTTGGCTAATGTCCATTTCTCTCCCCATTTTCCACGGATGGAGAGTCCTAACACATTTTCTTTGGCATTCCTTGTTTTTCTGCTCAGTCCCTGCCTCAGTCCAAATGTGTGGAAAGTTGTCATCCTGGATTTGTCAAGAGGGCTCGAGAAGGAGAGCCAGTTTGCTGCTATGACTGCGTTCCTTGTCCGGAGGGGACCTTCTCCACTCAGGAAGGTGGGTGACACCACAGGAAAGGAAGGCTTGGTGGAAATGGATTTATCCAGAGCATTTTGATGAAAGTGCAAATTAAAACATGTATTGAAGCTCAGCTCTTTTCTTCCTTTTTTAAAAATGCACTAGAAATCCTCGAATTTCATATACCTTAGCTATATAGCTGTTAGAAAAATATATTATCATTTTTTTCTGTGGAATGGTTAAGCAAAAAATCTTGGAAATGTTCTTGGAATCAGGCATTGTCCAAAAAAATGTATTTCTTGAAATATGAAAGGACAGAATATTAAAAAAATATTGCTTTTTCGCTTTCTCAGATACCAAAAAATGCACTGAATGTCCAGATGATAAATATCCAAATGAGGCCAGAGTCCAATGTATCCCCAAAGTTATAACTTTCCTGTCTTATGAAGAACTTCTGGGCATCATCCTGGTCTCTTTTGCCCTATTTTTGTTTCTAACCACAGGGCTTGTTTTAAACATTTTCATGAAATACCGAGAAACTCCCCTTGTCAAAGCCAACAACCGGGACCTCTCCTACATCCTCCTGGTTTCCCTCCTGCTTTGTTTCTTGTCTCCTTCTCTCTTCATTGGTCAACCAAGGAAAGCCACCTGCCTTCTCCGACAGACAGTTTTCAGCCTCATCTTCTCAGTTGCTGTTTCTTCTCTCTTGGCCAAAACCATCATGGTGGTGCTGGCTTTCCTGGCCACAAAACCAGGAAACGGAGTGAAGAGATGGTTGGGGAAGAGCTTGGCCAACTCCATCATCCTTTCTTCTTCTGCTGTCCAAATTATCATCTGCTCCATCTGGCTGGGAGTTTCTCCCCCCTTTCCTGACTCTGACCTCCACTCCCAGCCTGGAGAGATCATCCTGCAATGCAACGAAGGGGCCGTTGTCATGTTCTACGTCACCCTCAGCTACATGGGCTTCCTGGCTGCCATCTGCTTCACGGTGGCTTTCCTGGCCAGGAACCTGCCTGGGGCCTTCAACGAAGCCAAGCTGATCACCTTCAGCATGCTGGTCTTCTGCAGTGTCTGGGTGACTTTTGTGCCCACCTACCTGAGCACCAAAGGGAAATCCATGGTGGCTGTGCAGGTCTTCTCCATCCTGGCCTCCAGTGCTGGTCTGCTGGGCTGCATCTTCATCCCCAAGTGCTACATTATCCTTCTGAGGCCGGACCTCAACACAAAGGAGCAGCTCACAGGCAGAATAAATGTAAAAACATGAGATATAACACAAATATGATAGTGGAAGAATTTGAAAGGAGATATTCTTTCCATTTAGATAGTATGCAGGAGTCAAAGAAAATCGTATGTATATGTTTCAAATTTGGAAATTATTGAATCCTTCATAAAAGAGCAGCTTACAGCCAGAAGAAATGTGTAAATGTGAGACTGAGGAATTTCAACTTTTAACATTTTCCACAGTCCAAACATAGAAAATGGTCCAAGCTCTTCTCCATGCATGAGTGGGCCAACTATTTTTCTTGAAATACGTAAAGGGTGTGTGGAAGATTGTGAGGAGACAAATTTCTTGGGAGAAATGGGAGCATGTTAGCAAGACAGAAATATAGAAGGAATGTATGGAGCAAGGTTGATGCCCTCATTTCTCAGTACATTTCACCCAAACTGCTGTGGCAACTGAGACGTTTCTTTTTGTTTACACAATAACTCTTTCCTGAGGGTAGCAACAATACAAGGCTGCGGAGGTAACTTGAATCTCGCTAATTTTGAATATTCATGCTTACATCATCTATTAAATGAAATATGCATATGTGTGATTGTCCTTTTCTCCTCCTTTCCTGGAATGTATAAATATGAGTGCATCCTTTTGTCTGTAAGATTTCCTTCCATTATTTTCTGGGGAGAAATTCCTCCAGTGGACACTGAATAAATAACAATTGCCGTGAACCTGGATTATTGGTTTTTTGGTTTCTGTGTTTCTTTCCACAGAAACTGGTGTCAGGAGTGGGATTCACAATTTTCCATCTGCCACCAGGGACAACAGATGGGGCAGCCCTATAGGGTGAGAGTTGTGAGATTGATCCCATAACTCTTCCCACTGCCACATAAAGGCACCATTGAGGAGTGTGTGTGTGACCACAGTCTGTGTCTAACTGTCAATCATTGCTGGGGAGGTTTGTGGTCCCTTCCGTCCCAATTCTCAGCCGCCCTGGCCCTGCTGTGAGCTCAGCCGAGTGATGTCTGGAGGTATCCAGGAACTGAGGGGGAATTTGGCTTTGCAGAGTGAGAGGGACCCTCTGTGGAAGAAAGGAGGCTGACCCAGAGGTTCTGTGCAAACTCCCTTTTTCCTGTTGTCTGAATAGAGGAATTCAGCTGATCCCAGGCAGGGAGGGAAGTGGATGATGGGGCTCAAGCAGACTCTGAGTGGGGAAGGAATCTTTCTCAAAGAAACAGGGAAACCTGCTGTGTCCCAGGGCTGGAAGAGGATCCGATGCCCCCACTGGTGCCCCCAAAGGCTGGAAAAGAAGGGAGTGAGTGAAATTGGAAGGGATGATTAAAAAAAAACTCTTCCTCCTTGTGAGAAGAGAAATTCCTGTATGTGCCCAAGGCTGTGACAGATTCCATGCAAACAGAAGCAGGAAAGTTCATTTTATAAATCTATTTTTGTTAGATTTTTTCCAGGGTTTTATTATTTTTACAAATAAGTAAAGGAGGTGAACATGTCCAACTCTTCTTCCTCTTCCTCTTTTCCCCACAACAATCACCCTGTGAGGTGGGCTTGTCTGAAAGAGAGTGTCTGTCCCGAGGTCAGCAAACAGGCTTTCAGGGCTAAGGCAGGACTTGAACTCAGGATCTCTTGCTTTCTAGCTGATGCCTTAACCATTGTCAATGTTAAGGCAGGGCAGATTTTGGGCAAAGGCCCTGCTGGTCACCACTGCTGCCTCGTCTTCCAGAGAACACCAATGCGTCTTTCTGGGGTAGAGCAGCCCCATCCGAGAGCAAAGGAGAGAAACTCCTGGACACAGAGAGCCCCTCCCCCATCACAGCCCCTCCCTCTTGCCAGGGTTCAGCTAAAACTCACTGCCTGTAGGGGGCAGCATAGAGTCTGGCCCTGAAGTCCTAGCTGGGCCCTGGGAATTGAAATCGGGGCCTCCTGGTGATTGGCTCTGTTGCAATATTTTCAGGATCAGACTCAATAAGATCAACAAGAGTTAAAGATTTAACTATATATTCTTTTATTTACATTAGGCATTCTATATTCACTGAATATTCACAGATAGAAGCAAGGGAAATGGTGTAGTTAGCTCCTTATATATACAATGGGTGGAGCTATATGTGGGAGTGGTGAATTATGAATACATTAAGAAGTGAAGAATAAGTTAACCCCTGATACCCTGTCTGTACACTATTTACACATTGGAGAATAAGGCATTTACATCTGACAAATCCCCCTCTAAATGCCGATTCGTTATACAACACCAGTTACATTCAGATTCAGGACAATACAAAACATACAACTTAGAGGTTAAGTATTTATGCTGTTTAGAAGGTAAAGGCTTTGTTAATATATCAGCTAATTGTTCTGAAGTGTCGCAATGCACTGCTTTAATAAATCCATCCTGAGATAATTGTCTCACATGTTTAAATTTTATATCTATATGTCTGGACCTTTGTCCAATGGCATCAGATCTAAATATTTCAATGGCTGCTTTATTGTCTTCATGCATAACAAAAGGCAGAGCAGGTTTTTTCCAGACATCTGAAATTAAATCATTAAACCATACAAGGTTATTTGCGGCCTTGGATAAACAAACATATTCCGCTTCTGTTGTTGAAGTAGCCACTAGTTCTTGTTTACCAGTGTACCAGTAAACTGGACAGTCATTTAAGAGAAATACATAACCAGATGTGCTTTTTCTGCATGAGGTGTCTCCAGCCCAATCTGCATCTGCATAACACGTAAGCTTTAGTTCTTTAATATCATTAGGTTCTAACATTAAACAAAAGACTAGTGTACTTTTTAAATATCTTAAAATTCTTTTAACAGCTTCCCAGTGGTACATTGTTGGTTTGCTGACATGCCTAGATAATAAATTGAGTGGTAAAGCGATGTCTGGTCTAGTCCAATTAGATATGTAAAGGAGTGAACCTATGATTGATCTATAGAATGTATTGTCCTTGAACTCGGGAGAAGATTCATCAGAATTCCTTAGAAAGTCAGTTTGCATAGGGGTATTACAAGGTTTGGCATTGTTTAAGTTGCATTTATTTAAAAGATCTATGATCTTATCTCTCTGGGTAAGTTTGAATCCCCTTTTTGTCTTATTAATTTGGACACCAAGGTATTTGTTTACCTTGCCTAAAGATTTCAATGAGAAATGTTCATTTAGTTTAGTTACAAAAGTTTCTCTTCTTTCTTTATGTTTTCCTATATATAAAATGTCATCCACATAAATCAATACAAATTCAATGTAATCATCACCCCTCTTGACAAAGAAACAATTATCAGCAGTGGTAGCGTTGAAGTCCATGGTCTTAAGTACTTTTACTAAACAATCATACCACCGTTTACCAGATTGTTTTAGCCCGTATAAACTCTTGTTTAACAACCAAGTCTCATTTCTGTTTGTGTATGGACTATGAGGTGCTCTCACGTATATTTCTTTATCTAATTTTGCGTGTAGGTACGCAGTCTGTATGTCATATTGGAATACATCTAGATTGAGTGCTGAAGCTACCACTAGAGCTGTTTTGACACTCTCTGTTCTTACAGTGGGGGAATACGTGTCAGTATAGTCCTCTGGATATTTCTGTGCATAACCCTGTGCTACCAATCTAGCTTTGTATAGAGTATTTCCTCCCTCTAAATTCTTAATTTTATATATCCATCTGGTACCAATAATTGTCTTATCTTTAGGTGCAGATGCAGGTGTAAATACATTTAGTCCTTGTAAACTTTCCATCTCTTTCTTCATTGCTAATTCCCATTTTTCTTTTTCTTCGTGAGGAAGTTTTAACACTTCCTCGTATGTATTGGGTGTTGTTGGTTCACCATTCATGTGCATTACATAATCCTTGTATTTATTTGGCATTTGATTTCTGGTGTTTCTAATGATTTTCTCGGGTTTACTATCGTTATCATGCAAATATCTTGCTTCCTTTTTTGTTAGTGTGTCTGTCTTTATTTTGAGTTGGCTATTTGTCCAAGTTTTGGTTTTGTTTTTATATTTGTTGATATTTTGTTTTTCTATAGTCCCTTTCTCATGAGATTTTGTATCTTCATGTTTATTTGGGAATATCTCATTAAGATGTAATTTAGACCAGTTAGCTTGTTCATGGAACACAGCTGTTCTGGAGACTATAAATTTGTTGTTACTATCAATGAATCTGTATCCTTTAGTGCCAGTCTCATATCCCATAAATCTGAGTCTCCTGGACACATTTTCTCCCTTTCTTCTTAATTGTTTAGGTATGTGTACGTCTGCTGTGACTCCAAATATATGCATGTGTGCTAATTTTGGTTTTCTATTATACATCACTTCATATGGTGTCTTATTTATAATGCTGGACCATGTTCTATTTTGTGTGTAATTTGAATAATGTAAGGCTTCTGACCAGAATTGTTTGCTTAAGCCAGCATCTTCCAATGTGCATCTAATCATGGTTTGTAATGTGGAATTTTTTCTCTCTGCAATCCCGTTTTGGAACGGAGAAAATGGACTAGATGTGTAATGTAACATTCCTTTGTCTTTTAACCATTGTGAGAATTCTTTAGACATGAATTCGCATCCTCTGTCTGTCATAATTTGTTTTATTTTGATGTTGTGTTGTGTTTCTATGCGTTTGTAAAATTCTTTAAATTTTTGAAATGTTTCATCTTTGTGTTTTAATGTGTAAACAAATCCATAGCGGCTATAATCGTCCACTATTGTCAGGAAGTAACGTTTCCTATAAGTGATTGATGGAGTTAATGGACCAACTAAGTCCATGTGTACTAAATCAAAAATTTTGTTAGTTGATCTGGTAGATTTTCTTGGCCTGGGACTAGTTTTTAGTTTTGTAGATTTACATACTGAGCATTCCAGATAATTTTCACAATTTTTTATTTTAACACCTTCTGCGTGTTCAGTCATTTTTTGCACTACAGGAAAACTGGCATGTCCTAACTTCCTATGCAATATGTGAGCACACTCATCATGAATTGGTTTACCTATCTTTGGCTTCTTATCGTTGTGTGCATCTGTGTGATCATGAGATATTTTACATTCATCATTGTCACTGTTGCTAACATTCTCATCATCTATTTCAATACAATCTTCCATATTTGAATCAATGTTATGTAACCATTTTTCTTTTGTTATTAGGTAAGGTAGTCCTCCTTTAGTCACCACAGTACCTATATTTATTTTATTCTTTTCCAAAGTTGCCTTTCCTTTTGAAAAGACAATGTTAATGTCAGAATCTCTGCTTAGTTTTATGGCACTTAATATGTTATGAGGTATTTCAGGTATTAGTAATACCCCCTCTATTTTTCCTAAACCAGGCAAGGTTACATTTCCTCTACCTAATACTTGAACCTTTTCTTGGTTAGCTACCTTAATTACAAATTTATCTTCTGCAAATGAAGACAATATACTTTTGTTATTAGTGGTGTGATTAGTTGCTCCAGAATCAATAAGCCAATTATTGTTCTCACTTTGTTGTGTGTTAGTGTTGTCTTGTTTATTTAATCCATTCAGTGAACCAGACTTTCTATCCTTTGAATTGTCTCTGCCCCCTCTATTCTCTCTGTGATTTGGTGGGCTCCTATATCTATGCCTTTCTATGGAAGGCCGTCTATAATCGTATTTGTTTCTGTATTCTGATCTATATCTTTCTTTTAAGAATTTTGGGCAATCTCTTCTATTGTGTTCCCTGGATCCACAATTATGACATTTAAATGTTCCACTATATTTTTCTTGGAAAGCTACTTTCCTATATGGTTTATGTTCTGTGTGATTGTTAGAACGATTCCTTCTAGAATTATCTTCTGTTATCAATTTGTTAGATAGACTTTCTATGGATAAATACCCTAGATTGATTGTGTCTAAATGTGACATAAAATTGTCCCATGATGGATCAAGTGAGTTGATAATGACACTTTTCATTGTTTGGTCTGAAATCACCTCCCCCCTCAAATGCAGTTCAGCTCTTATTTTGTTCAAAGATATTAAATGTTCACTTATGGAAACCCCTGGTTTTATCCTAGATGAAAAGAAGTCTTTAGATATCCTTGTGGTGGTAGCTACACTGTCACTGTGAAACAAATTAAACATGCATTGAATAATTTCTGAAACAGTCAAATTTGGCTTAATGCTGTGATACATTGCAGGAGACATACTAGATATTATTAAGAAAAATGCTTTATGGTGTAAACAATCTATTTTTAAAGTCCAAGGTCTTTTTGGGGGATCAGTGATAAAAAACAGCAAGTTTTCTTTCATAAAGGCAACCTGGAGTTGCTGATACCACTCTTGCAAATTAATGCCATCAATTCTAAGTTTTGGAAAATCGTTAGGTAAGTCCCCAGTATTATTATCCCCACTACTTACAACTGAGGGTAGTCCGTGGTCTCGTAAGTGTTGAAAGTCACAGGATGGAGTGGGTATTCTGTGCATTAGTCTGAGTGGTCTTTCTTCTTCATAATGTCCTCTGTAGTTCTCTGTATGCATCTGCGTATGTGCGTTGTTCATATCTCTGTCGAAGCTGCCATAGGAAGCCTCTGTCGCTGCAATTCCTTCGTAAGGTTCCTCCTCCGACGATTCGGTCTCTGTCTCTACCTTGATCTTCTTGCCGATAACTGACGCTTGCCTCCTTTCGCCAAAACCGCTCCGCTTGAAGCTTTCCACCTCTGGAACCGTCTGCGGCGTGGGAGAAAACCTGCAGGGTCCTCTGGGCTCAGGTGTTGTCATCCTTTCTGCACGAGTTGATCTGGATATGTTCTGGTTTGTCTGTTTGCTTGTTTGTCTTTTTGTTTTTGGGTCATTGACTTCCGTTGATTTTTTTGCCATTTTTAAATTTGGATCAAAAGTTTTAAGTAGTTGTTTCTTGATTGCTTCGACTTTCAGTTTAATAGATGTTTCTTTTGCGTCCGTATTTGATTCTTCTGAAGAATAAAGATTTTCTTTACTATTTTTTGTACTGTGTGATTCTTTTCGCGCCAAAGATTTTGAATGGTGTATTGTGATTGGCTCTGCCTTGTTTGTCTCAGTGACCGGTTGAAGACAAGATGGCTGCCATTCGAAATTTTGAGCGGGATCTCTGTTCTTTCTTCTTGTTATTTTTTCTTTTATAGATGGGTTGCTCACCGTTTTTGTTTCTTTGAATTCAGTTGTCTCGATGCTATTTTTCTCTCGCTGCTTCGTTTTCTTTCAAGAAGTTTTGAAGGTCCGCGATGAGATCGTAGTCATCCTTTTGTTTTTTTAGTATTCTCAGTATCTCTGATCTGAGATTGTTGCTTTCTATTTCTTTCTTATACATGTTTATTTTATTGAGTCAATTAACCATCCTCTGCTACCAGTTTGTTGCAATATTTTCAGGATCAGACTCAATAAGATCAACAAGAGTTAAAGATTTAACTATATATTCTTTTATTTACATTAGGCATTCTATATTCACTGAATATTCACAGATAGAAGCAAGGGAAATGGTGTAGTTAGCTCCTTATATATACAATGGGTGGAGCTATATGTGGGAGTGGTGAATTATGAATACATTAAGAAGTGAAGAATAAGTTAACCCCTGATACCCTGTCTGTACACTATTTACACATTGGAGAATAAGGCATTTACATCTGACAGGCTCAAAGCCAGTGGTGGGATTCAGTCGGTTCGCATCTGTTCGCCCAAACCGGTAGCTAACCACGCCCAGCCACGCCCCTTGCCCCTCCCAGCCACTTGCCTCGGATGAGGCTGATGTGTCTGACAATGTCTTTGCCATGTTGCCTTCGGCTGAACGGGCAGGTCTGGAGCAGGTCTCCCTCCCGTAGGATGCCACCTCCCGCGTTTAATTTTGGAGCCACCTGGGTGAGGGCACCCCCCACCCCACCGAGCGGTGATCCCTGTCACCATCATGCAAGCCAGCCAGCCAGCCCAGCCCAAACCCACGTGGGAAGGAACGATCGCCCTCCACCAGCCGGCCCTCGCCTACCCCCCACCCACCCGTGCCTGGTCAGGTTGTGGGGGTGCCTGGCCTCCCAGCTGCTCCCCCCGCCCTCTGGAAGGGCAGCAGCAGCAGCAGCTCCGTCGTCCCAGCAACGCTGCGCAGCCTCTGCGGCCTCGTGTTGGGCTTCCCGGCTGCCTGGGGAGCGAGGGGGAAGGAAGAGGCCAGCCGGCTCTTCGGAAGCACCGCTGGCTCTGCCCTCCTGCCTCCGCTCTTGCACAGGGGGAGGCGGCGCCTTCTCTCCCGGTCAGCAGAGGCTCCTGGGGGGGAAAGGCGGCCGGGGCCGGTCCGAGCTTGGCTGGGAACCTCACGTAACGCCCGGAAGGAATCCTGGTGCTGCAGCCGCCACTCTGGGCGCTAGCCAGGCAGGAGACTGCGAGCTCCGGGGTCTTCCGAGGAGCCCGGCCGAAGGTTCCCCCGCGGAGGCTCCGGGACTCCCGATGACGGGACGGGTCCTTGGGGCCCCCAGGAGCTCCAGCCCAGCCTCCGCCGCAGCCAGTGGCGCCAGAAAGTCCGGCGGGGCTCCTGGAGAGGCAGAGGTGGCAGGAGGCCGATCCGGGGCTGCGTGTAGCACGAAGGTTCCTCCGGGGCTTTGAGGCTCCTGGCTGCAACGGGCAGCAAAGCTGATGCAGCCGCTGGGAAAGGGGGGGAGAGAAAGGGTCCCATTGCAAAGGTACGCGCAGGTCGGAGCGGGGAAGAAATGCCAACTTCGGCCTCCCGGTGCAGCGCGGGGCTTTGGGCAAAGGCTGGAGGGAAGGGCCTCTGGCTCCCTCTCGCCCTCCCTCCCTCCCCAGCCTCGGGTGATGCAGGCAGAAGCTCCCGCTGCCCTGTCCAAGGCCGCTGCCGGAGAAGCTGGGCGCCGGTGAGGGCTGGCCTTTTGCCTGGCTTTGTCCGGCTGTCGGGGGGGGGGGACGGACGGGGTCCTGGGGAGGAAGCCACGCTCCCCGGACAGCCGGACCAAAGGACGCAAAGAGCCCCCACCGGCTCCTCCCACAGCGGCCTCGCACAAGGCACCGGGGCTCCGCCTGCAGGCAAGCTGGACCGGGGAGGGGGGAGCCCGAGCGAGCCCTGCGGAGGGAAGGCAGGCAAAGGGCGAGCGAGGGCAGCCGCAGCATCCTGGAGCCCCTGCAATTCCCTCCGATCGGCTCCCCCGCCTCTCCTCTCCCCCCGTTAGCCAGCCTGCCAGCCGGAGGTGAGTCGGGGGGCTTCACTGCGTTCCAGGCATTTCCCTCCTGAACGGCACGCCGCCTTTGCCATGGGGGGAGGGGTTTGGGGAAGGCGGGGGGGGAATGGGGGGGCAGAGGAGCCGCTTTCAAGCCATTGGCTTTTGCGGGGTGGAGAGTCTCCCCCCAGGCAGAGGCACCCTGCCCATTTCGGTAGCCCCCCCCCTTCCTAGGGAAAATATTTTTTTAAAAAAAATCCCTGCAAATGGTTTGTAGAAAATGAGAAGCTTTGCCTCCGCTGGGCGGTAGAGCTGCATCTCTCCTGAGTGCGGAGAGGCTGAGGAGAAGGCTTGGCTGCCTGCCAGAAAGTCTCTCCGGGAGCCTCACCTGTGGCAGAGATGAGACCCTCACCTGGCTCCAGCCCCCGATTCCCCTTCAGCCTTGCCAGATGAGGAGCAGCCCTGGCAGACTCTCCAAGCCTGAAGCAGAAGGGAAGGAGGGTGGGAGAGGGAGACCCAATCCAACCTCTCTCTGTGTGTGTGTAGGAGGGAGAGGGAGGGGGAGAGGGAGGGAGGGGGAGAGGAGAGGAGAGGAGAGGGAGGGAGGGGGAGGGGGAGAGGGAGGGAGGGGGAGAGGGAGGGAGAGGGGGAGGGAGAGGGAGGGGGCTTCTTGGGGATGCATTTTGGAGAAGCGTCAAGAGAAATGCCAAAAGGCCAATCAGTTTGGGATTAAAGTCCAAATGAAATGGGGTCTTCAGGGAAAGGAGACATGAAGAACTTTCAACTGCAGGATTCTAAAACTCTCCTTGAGAGGAACGTCTGGAGGCAGCTCTCGAACTCCTCAGTCCGGAGGGAGCAAAAGAGGGAGGGTCCCAGTGAGGGTCTCAGCCAGTGGTGGGTTCCAACCGCTATTACCACCGGTTCCCTTCGTCCATGCGCTTTGCCTGCCATCTCCCTGAACTGGGGAGAACCGGGAGCAACCCACCTCTGGTCTCAGCTATTTGGTTTAGGAATAAGAGAATAACAGAGCTTAAAGGGACTTTGGAGGCCTTGTAGTCCAGGGGCCCCCAAACTTGGCAGCTTTAAGGCTTGTGGACTTCAACTCCCAGAATTCTCCAGCCAGCCGTGCTTGAAGTCCACAAGTCTTGAAGCTGCCAGGAGAATTCTGGGAGTTGAATTCTTCTGTGGGGATGGAGCCCAGATTGAAATGTCGCCCCTTGGATCTGGAATGAAAGCTCCAGAGAGTCCAGGTTTTCCTCTCCAGGCCCAGAGGATGAAGGGGAGCTGAGAGGGAAACACCACAAAAGATTAAATATTATTCGTATCCAAAAGGCCTTGTGAAAATGTACCTAAAGGAACACAGGGGTCTTTGCCAGCTTTAGGTGTCCTCCTCGCTGCCTGCAAAGGCCAAGTATGGCTTAAAAGACCAGAGTATAGGCTGCCCCCTACAGGCAGTGAGAGGGACTGCTAACTCATGGAAGGACCCGGTGGAGGAAGGACCCTGAGTGCTGACTGGAATTCTGGGAGTTGAAGTCCACACCTCTTCAGGTTGCTAAGGCTGAGAAAGATGCTCTAGTAAACCCTTCACTGGGCAGTTGGAGGGATGACCTCTGAGGTCTCTTTCGACTCCATTTGTCCATTATTCTAACTCCTCCCCTCTTTACGGAGGGCAAAAGAATCCTCTCCAAAAAGGGAAGTAGGTGACAAAATGGAGGATGCGGGGTCTTTTCCAGCTTTAGCTGTCCCTCTCACTGCCTGCGGAGGCCAGGAGTGGCTTAAAGGCCAGACTGCAGATTGTCCCCTACAGGCAGTGAGAGGGACAGCTAAAGCGCAGCCTCCTCCATTTTGTGGCGGGAACCTCCAGTAGAAAGAGGGAAAGGAGGAAACTGGATGTAGCTAGAATTCTCTTCGTGGCTTTTTTCATCCCTTTCTAAACTCTGTTCTGTGTGTGGAACTTAATCTCTTCTTTTGGCTCCTTGAATAAAGTCCATCTTGGTTGAAGCCCCGGAGTTTCCTCAGGGCCTCCCTGTCTCCCCCTCAGGCCGGCTGAGCCCCTGAGTCCCAAGGCCAGAGCTTCTCCCCTCGATCCCCTCCTGGCTCCCCAGAATTAGAATACTATGAATTACCCTCAGAGAAGCAAATAGTGCTGCTGTTTTCAGATGCACAAAAGGCGTTTGACAACGTGAATTATGGCAATTTATGATAAAACAGTTGAAAATGATGGATTTTGGAGACAGATTCATAAATATGATCCAAACTATATAGAGAGACCAAGCGGCAAAGGTGAAATGACAAAGAAAATAGATATCAGAAAAGGAACAAGACAAGGATCCCCTTTATCTCCATTATTATTTATATTGACATTAGAGGTTTTAAATAGAAAAGTGAGACAGGAAAAGGAAATAAAAGGAATGAAAATAAAAAAAGAATATAAATTACAAGCATTTGCGGATGATTTGGTGTTTATCATGGAACCTCCAATAGAGACAAAACTATTAGACCAAATAGAAGAATATGGGAAAGTAGCAGGACTGAAAATCAACAAAGATAAGACAAAAATATTAGTTAAAAATATGAGAGAAAATCAAAAGAAGGAGATGACGGAGAAACTGGACATCCAAATTGTGAAGAAAGTGAAATATTTGGGCATCCATCTGACATCAAGATGTGCAACGCTCAAGGAAGACAATTATTATAAACTGAAAAAACAAATTGAAACAGGCCTGGAGAAATGGAGAAACTTGCAGTTATCACTAATGGGAAGAATAGCATTAATAAAAATGAATGTATTACCAAAAATATTATTTTTATTTCAAACTATACCAATAAAACTGGAGAAAAAAATACTTTGAAGAGCTGAAGAAAATAACGTGGAAATATGTGTGGCAAGGAAAGAGAGCAAGAATTAACTTAAAAATGCTACCAGAGTTGGCTTTGCTTGGTGGGCGTGGCAGGGGAAAGTTACTGCAAAATCCCCATTTCCTCCCGATCAGCTGGGACTCCAGAGGGAGAGAATAAATGGAGGTGGCACCAGTCAGAGGTGCAATTTACTGGTTCCCCAAACTACTCAAAATTTCCGCTACCGGTTCTCCAGAACTGGTCAGAACCTGCTGAAACCCACCTCTGTTCCAGTCCTGCCTTAGTACTTTTTGATTGGGGGTGTGAAACTTGGAAAAATATTCTCAGATTGATGTGGGATATCAGAATTGGGGATTCCTAGAGTGTGAGATGGCCGAGTGTCCAATATTGTGTGGTGTGATGGAGGAAAGTGAAATTGTGGGAAAACGCCACTTCCATGTTGGGCAAAGCCAGAAGTCTCTCTGCCTTCTGCTTGTGAGAGAACCAGAGGAATTTGTGTGGTCACTGTGAATCTTAGACTGATCTTGGTCTGATCCATCAGAGCTTTTCTTATCTCCTTAGAATGGAATTTGCAAAGGGATCCTGTTTGCAATTAGGAGCCATTATAAGACATAAAAATTGATTCCCAATTGATCAGCAATTTGTGTGGTTGGAGAGCAGAACAGCTTCCATGGGTGCCTCTTCCTAGAAACCAGGAAGTCCCCCCCCCTCTATTCATCCCCTTCTTGGACCTGGATGAATATTATGCAGCATTGAAGGTTTGTGACCTGGTCAATGATGCAGCTGCCTTTAGACAGGATCCCCTCAACCTCTTCCTGGGGAGAGTCTCAAGGTCCCCTTTCTCTGGACATCTTTTCCAGCCCTTCACAGACAAGACAATCTTGGAAGAGGAGCAGAGAAATTGCTTTAGGTAGAAATTATAATTTCTGCTAAAACTGCTATTTTGTTTGTTTGTTTGTTTGTTTTATTAGATTTTTTTTTTATTGCAAAAGTTTTACAATTACATTTTCACCCCTTTCCCCCCCCCCTCTACCCACCCCGAACTTCCCATCCTCCCTAACCCTCCCTAACCCTCCCCTCCCCCCGGACTTCCACACAATATACTTATATCAGGTAAAAAAAAAACCTTAATATAAAACTTATATAAAACTTGAACCCCTCCCTCCTCCTTATAATTTTTTCATCTTCATTACACTGAAATATTTCTTTCTTAAAATATCATTTTCAAATAAAAGCTATTTGGTACTTCCTAGTTTGATATTTGTTCTGAACATAATCTATCCACTTTTTCCATTCCCATTCATAAGTCTCTTGTGAACAGTCTTTTAAAAATGCTGAAATCTTCGCCATCTCTGCAAAACTGGCCATCTTCAAAGTTCATTCCTCAATCGTGGGCAAAACTTCATTCTTCCAATATTTACCTATCAATAATCTCGCAGCTGTTATCATATACAATATCAATTTTGTTTCACCCGTAGTAAAACCCTTAACTATACCCAATAAAAACAATTGTCTGCATGACCCACCAAATTTTTATCCAAAAAGCCTTAACTTTCCTACAAGTCCACCAAACATGATAATATGTAGCATCTAAACAGTCACATCTCCAACATTTTGGCTGAACATTAGGGTACATGATTTGTCAGATGTAAATGCCTTATTCTCTAATGTGTAAATAGTATATGAATGGGATATCAGGGGTTAACTTATTCTTCAATTATTAATGTATTCATGATTCACCACTCCCACTTATAGCTCCACCCATTGTATATATAAGGAGCCACCTTCACCCTTCTGCCCTGTTTCTATCTGTGAATATTCAGTGAATATAGAATGCCTATTGTAAATAAAAGGAAGTATATTTGAACCTTCAATTCTTACTATCATTATTGAGTCTGATCCAGAAAATATTGCAACAAGCTGGTAGCAGAGGATGGTTAATTGACTCAATAAAAACTTAAAAATGTCTAAGAAAGATAGGCCCAACACCAGGGCCTACAGGAAAGAAATGGAAACAGAACAAGAAATGATCAACGAATCCACAAACGCAATTTCAAGAGAATCCGGAGAATACACCACTGAAGACGAAGATATAATAGATGAAAATGATGACCAGGAGGAAATCGAAATAGAGAATAACGAACTCAGGTCAGAGATATTAAAACTATTAA